AACACACAGGACCTGTGAGACACACTCGGCTCCTCTCTCTCAGACCGGACACGCGGGTGCTGTCCTCACCGGTGAGTGACCAGGGGCAGGGGGGCGCAGGCCAGCAGCTGTTTGAACTGGTGGGTGCTCAGCACCTCCCCGCTGAAGCTGGCCTCCCAGACGCGGGACCCCGGCCGAGCGCAGCAGATCAGGGGCGACGTGCCCCCCAAGCTCCGGGTCTGCGGGAAGAAGCAGGCCCCGTACTCCCCATCCCGCTCCTTGTTCCCGATCCGCCAGAACTTTTCCCTGGAAGAGGGAACATCCCAGCGTGAGTCCAGGTGCACGAGTCCACCACGACGCACTTCTACATCTGATCCACTCCTGGTCTTACCAGCTGCTGGGCTCCAGTACAGATGTCCAGCAGCTGGACAATTCAGACCTGCTCCGTTGTCAGCAAAATACCCCCATCACGTTACACCCCTCAAACTTGTTTGAACATAGAGGCTTCCTTGCTCAGTTAACACATCTGGTAAAACCTGGAGTGGCTCAAAATGCTGAGCGATGGGAGTCTGACTGGCAACACTGCAAAGCTTGTGGTGGATTAGAAGGCTGTGCACTGGGAGCCTGTCTGGCAGTGGTGTAAAACCTGGATCAAAAGGATCAAAACACAGTACAGAGGGAGTCTGACTGGCAATAGCGTAAAACCCGGAGTGGACCGAAAACGCTATTAAGCGGGAGTCTGATCAACAGCATGAGACATGCAGTGTAAAGCCTGGAGCGGACCAGACTGCTGTGCGCTGGGAGTCTGACTGACAGCACTGTCACACCTGGAGCGGATCAGACTGCTGTGCACTGGGAGTCTGACTGACAGCACTGTCACACCTGGAGCGGATCAGACTGCTGTGCACTGGGAGTCTGACAGCACTGTCACACCTGGAGTGGATCAGACTGCTGTGCACTGGGAGTCTGACAGCACTGTCACACCTGGAGTGGATCAGACTCCTGTGCACTGGGAGTCTGACA